TGGACAGCCCTGGAATCATGGCCCGGCTCACACTCTCCCAGTGGTAGGTTCAAGAATAAATTGTTCATTTTTCATTTTTGTCTATTTGCACATTCCACCCATCTCTACCTATGCTAATTGTCATCTTTTCTGTATGTAGGCATAATGCCAGAAAGAAGAGGCAGGAGAAGGAGGTCTCAAAGATGTTCCTGTCGGTGGAGCAGAGAGGGATGCTGGCGGTGGAGCAGAGAGGGATGCAGGCGGTGGAGGAGAGAGTGATGCTGTCGGTGGAGCAGAGAGGTATGCTGGCGGTGGAGCAGAGAGGGATGCTGTCAGTGGAGCAGAGAGGGATGCTGGCGGTGGAGGAGAGAGTGATGCTGTCGGTGGAGCAGAGAGGTATGCTGGCGGTGGAGCAGAGAGGGATGCTGTCAGTGGAGCAGAGAGGGATGCTGGCGGTGGAGCAGAGAGGGATGCTGGCGGTGGAGCAGAGAGGGATGCTGGCGGTGGAGCAGAGAGGGATGCTGGCGGTGGAGCAGAGAGGGATGCTGGCGGTGGAGCAGAGAGGGATGCTGTCAGTGGAGCAGAGAGGGATGCTGGCGGTGGAGCAGAGAGGAATATGTCTATATTGGATATATGTGGAGCAGGTGAATGGGTGTGGCCCAGGTGTGCAGGGGGCCGCAAGGGGGCCAACAGAGAAGATTGGCATGAATCTTTTGCGCTCTATGCCCAGCAATGTTCTCTGTATGCCGGCCAATCAGCAGCTCGTATTGTCGAGCGTTTGTCGAGCGTTTTCGGGTTTGGGCCAATCAGCAGCTTGTATTGTCGAGCGTTTGTCGAGCGTTTTGGGCCAATCAACAGTTAGTATACTCAAGCGCTTGTCGAGCGTTTTGGGCCAATCAACGGTTAGTATAATCAAACGTTTGTCGTCACTCATAGCAACCAACGGAGAGAAAGCGAGTGAGTGAGTAAAACAAAAATAAATAGAATATTACGAATGTACTGACATAACATTGTCTTCCCAGAGTACTTTTACTATGTACTGACATGGAATTCGTCGATGTATTATGCTGTCAATCGCTGGTTTTGATATTTAAAAATACGTTAACGTTTGTTAATTAACGTCAACGTCAGGCGTCCTGTTTACACATTTAAACCATATTTACACTTCGAATTTCGACTCCAAACTGTAGTAACTACATTTACATGGTCTAAGGAAGATAACCAGGTAGTCTGATCAAAGATTAAATACATTTTGAGAGATCGCTAACATGTAATGTAATGCAATGCATTGGAAATTAATGGGACAACATGTGGCGATCTCTGAAAACAAAATTAAATTATGAAAAGACCATACAGTTAGTATCTTTAGACCCTTAAGATCATAATATCACCACATGAAATCAAAATATAAAGTTTAAGTGTATGTTTTATGCATTAACAATAAGCCTGTTTGTTTAATGGCTGCCAGTGCATAGGGGGCTGACCCTGGGGTAATTTTTTACCTGTTGTGTCAAGTTATGTTAATTATGGAAGTAAAATAATCCCAAATGTTTTTGAAACAAAAAGCCTGTTGAATTGTACTACTTGAAAAAAATATGCATTGCATTAACCCTGCTTGTATTTTAATGCATTGTATTTTTAGGGCTTGTATTTTTATAGGCTGAAATTTAGCATGGTTGAATATTTAAGCTGTGAATATTTCAAATCAAAACATTTCAAACACATTTTCATTAGTAAAATTTCAATAATCCATATTCACCTTTCATATTTAATTTCCCAAATATTCAAACTGATTAAAAATACAACCTATAATATTCAACAGCCGGTTTTCGGTCCATTTTATTTCGCTTTGCAAATTCGCTTCCACAAATTCAGTGGTTCAAATTCGACAGTAAATTCAACGTTGACATCCAGGAGCTGCAGGAAAAGCAGTAGATTACCGAGCATAATCTCCATCTGCTGTTAGTCGACCTCACCAGCAGGGGGTGCAAGCGCGTGTTGTTGACGAAGACCAGAGCAACAGTTAGACTAGAGCAAGCCATTCATTCATAAAAACTCAGCATGCATTATGTTTTTTGTGACGATTATCTGGGTCAGTATATATGCGGAAAAGATGATAAAGGCACAAAAGCTGTTTTTATGTTTCATTCATTGTTACTTTCCCTGTGTAGCCTTATGTTATCAGCCTTTTCTACAGTGAACGGGATTATAATCTGTTTCCCTCGGCCTCAATACATCATCATACTCAAAGATTCCCCGAATTCCGTCAGGACAAAGCGCTTAACGTAGCTTAATGGACTACAGTGATATAAAAGACCAAACTCGCACCTTATTTGGAAAGTATGTATTGTACATGTACTGCATTAGATTAAACTGGGAAGTAGCACTTTCATATTGTTGTTCTATATTGTTAGTTTAACTAGTCGCTTTGGATAAAAGTGCCAGCTAAAAGACTAAATGTAAAATTGGGTTGACATTCGCACATTTAGGGACCGTCTCTAAAGTAACAAGTCCTATAGGCCTAAACGTTTCTAACTTCAATAGCAAACTTCAATCTATTTGAATAAATTGCGCATTATGCCTGAGCCTGACACCTACATGAACACTTTACAGTTGGTTTTATGACTATAAGTCGTTCTTTTCAAATGGTATTTAAGTTAGAAACGTGTATACCAATTTCGTATGTAACTTTAGAGACGGTCCCTAAATGTGCGAATGTCCAATGTCAAACCAAATTTATGCCAGTATATCACTGGGAAACGCTCAGCATTAAACTTTGCGCGTTAAATTCATATTCTGAGTCCATCTGCTAGCCTGCGAGTTTGGTCTTTTATGTCTTTAAGCTACGTTAAGCGTTTTATATGTCCAGCAGGGGAATCCTGACATATTGAGGGAAACCAAAACCTACTGCATGCAGCACATCACTGCAATATAAGGTTAAGGCAACTAAACAACCAAGAGAAATATGTCAAATGTAACACTGGATCTGTAACGTTACATCCGCATCGGGGGAATAACATTATCGTTCATGGTAGAGAAAGATGCATGTAGGCTACACAGGAAAAGTAATCGTGAACACACTGAATTTCACATAAAACAGACGTCATAATAATCACAAATACACTTACATTTTTGTAAATAAGTTTTTATGAATGAATGGCTTGCACTAACTGTTGCTCTGGTCTTCGTCAACAACACGCGCTTGCACCCCCTGCTGGTGTGGTCGACTAACAGCAGATGGAGATTATGCTCGGTAATCTACTGCTTTTCCTGCAGCTCCTGGATGTCAACGTTGAATTTACTGTCGAATTTGAACCACTGAATTTGTGGAAGCGAATTTGCAAAGCGAAATAAAATGGACCGAAAACCGGCTGTTGAATATTATAGGTTGTATTTTTAATCAGTTTGAATATTTGGGAAATTAAATATGAAAGGTGAATATGGATTATTGAAATTTTACTAATGAAAATGTGTTTGAAATGTTTTGATTTGAAATATTCACAGCTTAAATATTCAACCATGCTAAATTTCAGCCTATAAAAATGCAAGCCCTAAAAATACAATGCATTAAAATACAAGCAGGGTTAATGCAATGCATATTTTTTTCAAGTAGTACAATTCAACAGGCTTTTTGTTCAACAGGCGTTGACCAGGGAGGAGCCCCGTCGCGTCTCCGTGGAGGAGACGCCATCTGGAGAGGCCACCCTGGCACCAGCGCCGGCGAAGAGGAAGAGGAAGGAGAGGAAAGTGGAGCAGCCCGCAACACCCACTCCTGCTTCGGCTGAGGTACAAAGACACGCACGCACGCACACACACACACACACACACACACACACAGAGACACCGTGCCCGTACTCATGGACGGCACAACTCAGTGAAGTTGACTGTCAAACTGCATGTAGCACCTCCTCTCAGCCTCCTGACAGTTTGTTTGTGTGTTTTTTTTTTTTCCTCACAGTCCCGGTTGCCTGACAGCTGGCGGACAGCTCTCACCGTGGAAGAGCAGGAGTGGATCGGCCGGGAGCTGTTTAGGACAGACAGCGAGGGGAGGAGCAAACTCACCACAGACCTCAAGCTGTGGTGGGACCCCCCTCAGCCCCAGCCGAGTTACACTCAGCCACCCGCCTCACCAGCTGCCTTCTTCGCGTGTCGGCTGTTCCTCTGGACGCCCCTGCGTCTGTGGGGCGTCCGGCCGACATGCTGTGATAGGGCCCTCACCAAGTGTGGGCTCTACAGGACCATCCGGAGGGTCCTGGACATCGACGGCTGGTACTTGATGGCCACCGAGTACCTGGAGTGCCGTCGGTGAAAGAGGAAGGTAGCTGCCTGGTCGCAGGAGGTCGTGAGTCAGCTGGGAGAGGGGCATCGCGCCCTCTTCCCTGCAATCCTCACCTACAAGTAAGTAGCTGTCTGAAAACTGTCACGCAGCCCCTCGCTCTGTCTGTGTGTGGCTCTTCTTTAACACATGATGTGCTCCTCTCTGTAGGCTTGCCTGCGACCGGCGGGTTATCATCCAGCTGCGTGAGCGTACTCGGGGGAACAGCGCCACGCAGCTGTACAAAAAACTCTGTGAGGCACACACAGAGGCCTGGATGCGGCGGTCCATACACTACCTCAGCGTCATGGAGCCCTTCACGTCGCGGGGTGTCGTGCGCATGTGCACCCCACCACCAAAACCGCCACCCGTGCCCCAGTACGCGTGGCTGTTAATGGTGTACTGCCACGACATCCTCTCCCGCCTGGAGGACGTGAAGGCCCGGGTCACCTCCGTCTTCGGAACGGTCCTGAACATGGATTCGACCAAGAAGGTAAATGTGGTGCTATGCATGTATAAATATATATGTATATAAATGTGGTGTGGAGTCTCATACTCTGGCTATGTGCGTGCAGCCTTACTCGGATGCTTTATTCTTTCAAACAGGTGACCCGGAAGCTCGCCGGTGCTGCCGCCCAGACCGCAGCGTGGGCAACGAACGTCGGCAACGAGCACGGACAGGTGCTCATGTCCGTGCTCACGGACGCCGAGGGTGCCGGCCTGTTGTCCATGGCTGCGGGGTTAATGCGGCGGTATCGGGACGCTGGGGTGGATCCGCCTCAGCTCCTCTACGTCGACCGGGACTGTTGTTCGTCCCACGGGGGATCCAAGACAGCTGACATGTTCGGGAAGTGGGACAAGCTGGTGGTCCGGCTGGACATCTGGCACCTGATGCGGCGGTTCGCGTCAGGTGCGTTGTGGCAAAAACAATAATTAAACAAACAGCATCACAGTAAGAGACATCATGGTTCCATAACTTTATATAACATGCATTTTTCCATAACAGGTGTCACCACCGAGAGCCACCAGCTGTATAAACCCTTCCTGCAGCAGCTGTCTTCGTGCATCTTCCTGTGGGACCCAGAGGACGCAGCCCGGTTGCTCAAGGCGAAGAAGAGGATGCTTGAGGCGCAGGGGATGACCTTCTCGTCCGACGCCGGAGCGTGGAGGCACGTCAGCCGCAAGAATATGGCTCTCCATTGCCGTCGCCGCACGCGTGGAGCGGCGGAGACGGAGCGGCTGATCGGTGACCTCCTGGAAACCTTCGGCGGTGCCAACGGACGAGACACCATGGGGATTTCCCTGCTGGACCAGGACCGCATCCAGAAGATCTGGAGGGAGCACCAGCGCCACCTCCATTGCATCCAGGACCCGCCGGGCGTGGAGCTGTACACTGAGACCGGCAGGGTGACCAAGGGGGGGATCAGCCTGCCGGTGTACCGTTGTGCACGAGGCTCCACGTCCCTGGAGTCGTTCCACCTGCATCTCAACCGCTTCATTCCAGGTGGACCACATGTTTCCCTGTCATGTCAATCTTTCACTGTCATGGACTCGCTGTCATTCACATTGTGTGCACTGAATAAACTGCTAAACAGATCTGTGTTCCTCCTCAGGAGAAAGTGCCAATCCCTGGCACTTCCAGGCTTTTCTCCTGGAGGGGTTGACGCGGTGGAACGCGGACAGGGCGGCGTCCGTGGCACAGGAGGGACGGCCGCTGCTCCGCTCCTACAATGGCCCCTGCAGCACTCCCTTGACCAGCTCAGCCAAAGGGTGCTTGGCATGAGTGTGGTCAAGGATTACACCAAGCCCAGGGAGTACACTGGTAAGAACACTCAAGCCACCGCGCTTACACGTGTCCACACTGAATGATATTTGTACCTGACTGACTGTTGTTGTACTTCAGGGGAACTCATCGGCATCGAGTACCTGTACTCCCAGACGGGCAGAGTGCTGCAGGACGTCAGCTTGGACCCTGACATTCCGGACGCGCGGGGGGGACGTTCCCCAACTCGTTGAGGATGACGAGCTCGCCGACGGCCCACAGGAGGTGGAGGACCTCACCCTCCACGTGTCTGGCGAGTTCCCAGCTCCTCAGACGGACCCGCAGTCAGGGCGACTGGCTGACGCACCCGCGCCATCCAGTCCGACTGGTGCCCCGGAGCCCGCACCCCACTCCCCCGGCCGGTCCTTGCCAGAGCCTCAGCAGGCTGCTGAGGTAAGCACGCCATCTCTTTGTGGTCTGCGACTGCAGTGCATCTCGCATCACCAAAAACTGCGCTCGCTCTGTTCCATCCAACTGACTTATTGTTTTCCATCTCTTCTTGTGTGTCTGCAGGACTACAGAGGACCGGATGACCAGCCGGGGTACCTGGCCGTGGTCCAGTTGGCCACGGCCTTGGGGGGGTTGCGTCACGACCCAGCCTTGTCCGAGGGGAGGGTAGATGAGCTTATCAGGCTCTACGAGGCCCTGTCACCGTACGACAGAGCCTGAGTAGTTTACCCTCCCCACTACAGGGACAGGCCAAATCACGGGCGCTTCATGGCAGCGAAGCCAAGCCGCACCAGTATACCTGGTGTGGAAAGCTTGAGATGGTGAGGCTGCACTTCCATCATACATTTCCCTGGTGTACAAACAAGCTGCTTTATGTAATGTTGCCCATTATCATGCTCATATTTGTCATTGTTTTTGTCCATTGTCCACAGCTGCCTGGTCGGAGAGACCTCTGGACCTGCCAGCAGTCCCAGCACAAGCCGGCTGGTAGAGGCAGTATGCACCCAGCTCTGCCGCTTGATCCCCTCAGGCGGCCGTGCGCGTGGTGCCCGGAGGTCGCGGTGGGACAGCATACTGCTTCGGTACCAGCACATCCGGGACCTTGTGCTGGGCCACCAGAGGCTGATGGCTCGGGCGCCCATACAGCTTTTTGAGCTGAACGCCAGGACCCTCTCGCTGTGGTACGTTTGATGCTTTTGATGTTATGGTAATGACATGCTTGAATGGCATGCTCTCGAAATTGTACATGTAACTAAAATTCTACGTTGAAATCCGTTCTCAGGTTCACCAGGATGCAGCGGGAGAAGGAGAGGACTGTGCTAGCTTCAGGCGTTGCAGCAGAGGGACGACCACCAGCGGCAGCGGGTTCGGCGCCGTGCCCAGCAGCAGCGGTGGATCGTTCTCCGGCAGCAGCAACAGGCCAGGCGAGGACAGCAGCGCCAAGGACGGCGGGACCTCTGGCAGCAGCACCGGCTGTGGCAGCACCGGTGCCTGTTCTGTCAGCGTCAGTGCGCCCACTGGCGCCTTTACCGCCTGCCCCCTCAGCTGTTGTCCTGGCTATACCACCGGCTGCTGCAGCTGCAACAGGGCCTTTTCCGGCAACACAGCCTCTCTTTCTGGACCTCTCACTGCCCCAGCAGAGTGTGAGGGTGGTCCCCATACCAACGCTCCCTCAGACAACGCCAGCCCCACACGTCCTCCCTCTGCCGCTGGCCGCCGCACATCACGCTGGCCCTCAGCTGCCTGCACTGCAGCTGATGCCAGGACAGCAAGGATAACAAGCAGTGCAGGATGCACCTCCTGCTCCCTCTCCTCAGCCTCTCTCTGCGTACAAAACTATATGGCTGAGGAGGAAGAGGGCTGAGCAGAGGGCAGCGGCAGGAACAGTCGTCGCTGCCCGGGCCGGCGTGCCACAAGTAAAAAAGTGCAGGAAATGCGGCCAGCCGAAGCGGAGGGAGACCGGACACACCCGCTATGACAATGTACATTTTTGCTCTGCCGCGGCGGGTTAAGAGTGTGGAGGAATGGCTGAGGGAGATGAAGGACAAGGACCAGGGTCGCGCCCCGGACTGATTTCGCATTCTCGCAGGGGCAGGTGTATATAGTTGTTTAAAAAGTTGTTGTTTTTTTAAAGACATTGACTTTCCCCTCCACAAGGACCGGGACCTTGCCGCGGTGTGGAGGCTTCCTACAAACACCGGTCCACACCTGCCAAAACTCTTCTACAGCACAGTGACACTATGCTTGAAAAAACATTGTGTATCCCATTCACACCTGTATACATTGCCATGTCTTTGTACTATTCTGATTCTTTGCACTAACAAGTTATATAGGTCTATACTGTGTGTCTGCTGCCTATCATATGGTTTAAGAAAAAGAAAAAAACATTGTCTGTCCCATTCACACCTGTATTACACATTCTAATATGCCCAGCAATGGTCTCTGGATGCCAGCCAATCAGTGGTTAGTGTAATCGAACGTTTGTCGAGCGTTTTCAGCTTTGGGCCAATCAACAGCTCGGATTATCGAGCGTTTGTCATAACAACCATCAACAAACTGATATTTAAACGATACGTTAACGTTAGTTAATTAGCGCTCTAACCATAGGCTCTACATGGGTGCGGGGAAAAATAACGCACCACATACGCACTGCAAACGGAATATGTGTGAAACAGGAGTATGTGTGAAACAGGCGTTAGCATAAACGACAACAAACAAAGTTAAGTCTGACACAGAGAAAGGGATTCGTCTTTGGGAGAAAAAGAAGAATTGACATTTGGAAAAACTTTTTTCATCATGTGTGTAGGCTACTTCTAACATGTTTGGTTGGTAAAATAAATATGTTGTAAATTCAAATCAGAGCGTCTTCCGTGTCTGGAATGGATGTATTCTTGAGTCTATAAGGTAACAATAATATAATAAGATAACTATAAGAAGATAAGATTGTTTGAAATGGGTTTGGCTAAAAGAAAATTTTGGTTTCGTCTATACTAGTCTACTAGGTTATACTATATTGACTTGGTTAAATAGAATTGCATTACTAAAAAGAGACTAAAATACAATTTTCATTGACTAAAACTAGACTATGTCTTTCGTCGACTAAAACTAGACTAAAATGTCATCAGTTTTCGTCGACTAAAACTAGACTAAAATGTCATCAGTTTTCGTCAACTAAAACTAGACTAGACTAAAAAGAGTATGAACGTGACTAAAACTAATAAAAACTAAAATGACAGCTTGACACAAAGACTAGACTAAAACTAAAATTAAAACAGGCCGCCAAAAACAACACTACTACCATGTTCTCGACCCTACTGGGAAGGCGTCCAATGGCCCCAGGTGAGTTCCAGGTAGACCCCTTTCTTTCTCTTTAACACAACAGAGGTTCAGTGTGTGACGGATATGTTCTGAGTCACATGATGTTCTGAGTCACATGATGTTCTGAGTCACATGATGTTCTGAGTCACATGATGTTCTGAGTCACATGTTGTGTGAAGCACCTGGCTTAACCCTCTGGGGACCAGAAACGCGCCCGCGCGTTTTGCCGTTTTTTTTTCACATAGCAGAAAAATAGACTTAAAATACTCTGTTGATTTTGATCGTACATATAAGTGTTATACATCAATCGATCCTGTTAATTGTCTATTATTTTTCTGTATACTCACAATAAAAACAAAGTTTTGTGCTTTTTGTCAAATAAAGAAAAATAAACATGATGCGAGTTTTGCCTTCTCTCTGTCAGTGCAGTCCATTCTGAAACACGTCCGAAAAATTAACTCTAACTCTGCAAATACTTGTCATACAGGCACGAGAGGTTTTTCTTTATGAAGCTTGAATTCTCTTCTTTTTAATGATGTAATTTATATAAAAAACAAATATTCTCAGTTTATGTAATCTGTATGAAAAGAGAGTGCTGTCAGATTTTTTTTCCCCAGCTCATTACACTTCATTACGCGTTAATCTGACACGCCCACGGAGGACGCGCGCTATTCAAACGCAAATGTCGAGGCAAGCCATGACAATGCCCACATCAGCCGTTCCACCGCGGCGGTAAAATGTGGGGTGTATTTGCTGCCTTTTACCGCCAAGAGGCGCTACAATCATAGACTCTGAAAAGTGTTTGTTTATTCTCTCTAATGCGTAATCTGCTGCCGCACCGCACTGATTCAGAGCGTTTGAAAGCTGGTAGCAGATGAATTCAACAAGTGAAACGTAGTTAAAATAATTCATAATCACAATACTGAAATTAGGCTACTGAAATGAAATTGAATAAATAATGAAAAAGTAAAACATTGCAATAAAAACAGTCACAGACGTATAGACGATAGCTCAGTGGTTAACGCAACAACACGAGCTTCGAGGAGCTTCAATCGACTCGGATCGAATCTCAATGTAGCATACATGTTGTTAACCGATGTTGCCCTACAGCGTTTATGTTTAACCTTCTTGATGCTTAAATAGCTAACTGTTTATAACTGTTTACTTATTTAAAGTCAAGAGTTTTGTTTAATTATTATTACAACATAAATTTGCTACATTCCTGGAACCGCAGCCGCTGCACAAAGGACAAAAACTGATGAAGGAAGATTGTCAGCCGATTGCATCAGAAAATGAAAATGAAGAAGCACGTCTTTAGTCTGCTAAATTATTGTGTAATGTAAAAGAACACTAAAATTACTTAAGTTTGAAACCAAGTTCGAACATTTCAAGGTTTAAATAAAGTGTCGGGACAGTTTTTTTTATTTAAAACAGGGTTGCATCGGGTTTAGAGTTTATTTCTTTTGCGATGCAAAATAAGAAACACTAGGCTAATCTTATTCTTGCGACATTTTAAATTTGTATTGCCAAAGAAATGACAGCTATATTAAACAATTAAAACAGTAGGCCTACAAAACGAAAATTGTCCAAAGCAACATAATTAAATTAAAACATGCGTTTTTCTTTGCCTCTCTCGCGCTGAATCTCTTTTTAACAAGTTTATTTAGTCTCCCTCGCTCTCCATATGAAAGAGGAACATTAACACCTATGCCTATTGTCCTGCGCGCTCGATACAGCACTGAACTGTCCCTCCAACCCCCCACCGGCTATTGGAGTCTGAGGCTGATTTAACACAAAGAGAAGTCACAATTCACACTTAAATCGCTATTCTAGACCGTGTTGATAATGAAGGAATTAAATGATTTAAGTTACATGTAGCCTAGTGATATTTCTGTCATAAAAGCTTATTACTAAATATTTAATTATTTCAGTAATTGATGAAATAAAACT